TGACACCCTCTCTCTCATAGTGCATTGTCATGGGTCTGGGTTTTGCTGTAACAAGAACTTTGCATTTCACAGCTCTGTGGGAAGAGAGTGCTGAAAACAGGTTCTGCAGTATCCTAACTAGACGGTTGTCAAGTCACTGCTGTGATTTTGTTCGTTAGTCAGTTCTGTATTCCTGGCAATGCAGCACGTGTCGCTAGAACGGCTGTATACAGGTCAGACTGAACGATCTTCCTATTCCTTGTTTCAGCTAGTGTTACGTGAAATGGAGCAATAGCATCCAAAAGACAACGGCGCTATCCATTTCCCCTGGTACAAGGGAAAAGGAAGAAGAGCGAGCTACAAGTTTTATCCGTTGACAGCTTTCACCAAAAATATCCCAACTAAGGTTCCTACCATGCCAGGACATGGAGAGGGTGGTAGTCTAGACCAGAGCTTGTCGTGTTATCATCAGTATCTTATGAGTTTCGAATCCCACCTGAATATAGCCAGTCACAGCAGAGCGTAGGCTACAGATGCTGAGTATTTTACTCCCTTTAAGACATCTTAAACTAATCTCCAATACAAGTGTTTCACACTAGTGTCTTTCTGCAAGTCTTTGCTTCATTTTGTCTAATGAATTCAGCTTGTGAGAGTGTCTTTTTGCCTAATTCAGTGTTTTCATGGGTTGCAAGTCTATATCCTGGAACTAAATCTTACGCTTCAGCACTCTGCGATAGCACGTGTTTTTCCTGAAATGAGCTCCAGATTCACTCTGCTGACTTCAACTATTGCCTTTTCACAGCACAGGCTGTAAACCCAACCATCAGTTTGTACAAGTCTGGGCAGGTTGCTAAATATCTCTGCGCTCCCCACCTGCAGCAGAACATCTTCCTTAAGCCTGAGCCTTCTCAGAACGCTGCTTGCATGGCTGATAAGGGAGAGAAACAGCTTTTGTTCTGCTGGGCAGATAAACCAGCAGCAGAACGAAGTCAGGATACCTTTGGTAGTGGCTTTGCAGGCTGGCAGTGGAGTCCTCCAACGAACTCAAAGTTAGGCAAGAAAGGGCGTGGGAATTCAAAATCCCAGTACGTTCTGATTAACCACATCTCTGCTTTTCCCATTGTCTCACACAGGGTTGTGGGCCTTCCTACGGGCAAAGGGCAAAGAACAAGGCGTTTATGACACACGCGGGAGGAGTCTTGTTTGTTGTAGATTGCCAAGTGTGAGCCTTACCTTTGTCTCCTGGCACTCCCTGTTAGCGCGGTCTATCAAGTCAAGCACAAAATGAAAATGTGGACAAATCCAAACCTATTCCTAGCCTGGGCCCCTGTTTACCCTTGGCAGATTGCCACGCACGAGGCAATAGCATCTTTAAAACAGCGTAGAACCTTTAGGATGAATTTAGAGCAGTACCTGAGTATGTGGGAAGCATTTAGTTTCTGTGGCAAGACTGGTGTTCTTGCACTGGTGAAAGACTTTGTTACCTGTGCTTGCAGTAAAAATCCACTTTGGGGAACAGAGTAATCATAGAAAATTTAGGGTCAAATAAAAAGAAGTGAATCACAAAGCGTTGATCAGCCGTGGAGGAGGAGAAAGTTTTAGCGAAGCTCGCCTGCATGTTTTCAAATGCTGACTCAGTAGGTGGCTGCTCAAACTGCAATGCAAGGCAAGCGCAGCCAGCCTTGGTTCTCTGGGAGACCAGCACAAAGCTCCTGCTGACTCATCTTGAGAAAATTTGGCAAAGACCACTGGTTATGTGAACATAATTTTATGCAAAATCGAATGTTTCTCGAAATCCATCTGTAGGAAAGAGTGCAATGGGAAAGACTTTTATAGCTTCTCATTTGGCAAAATGCTACACTCAGATGAACTTTGAACGTTGTCTCTCCAGGATTGTCCCACTGTGTGGAACAAGGGAATAAAAAGGTTAGAAATGTTAATGATTGTCCAAAGCCAGTTCAAAGCAAATAGTAAAGAAGCAACATAAGCAGCAAGAGAAAAATTATCTGTAGGACATCTTTTGATACTACCTGATCAGCGTTACAGATTACACCAGGAATCCTCTTTGAAAAATGCAGAGATTGATTGCTCAGTTATAAAGTTACTAGAGTGAAAATTACTTGTAATTGAATTAAAGCCCACATAACAACCAGAGTGACATAAAGGTGTTGGTCTGTAAACCGTGTTGTAAAGGAATCAAGTCTTGTGTAGTAGAAGAATTCAATACAGGAAAAAGGGACTGGTTTGGAAGGCACAGGGAAGAGTTCTTGGAAATACAGGAAGAGATCGGAGGGCGTCGGAACAGATTGCCTTATGCTTGCAATTCATTTGTTATCTGCCTAAATGCTGGTACTCTGTACGAGAGTCAAAGGCCTTTCTAATAGGCTTGGAATCAGGCCTGAGCTGTACTAGGTTAAAACAGAAATTTCAGGCTTTATACTTCAGGCATACTTTCAGGCTATATACTTTAAGGAAACGCTATATTTCAAACTGTGAAATACAGGAAAAGGAAGGTGACGGTTCTTAGCATTTATTCTTGGAGAAGACAAAAAACTCATGCTTAGCATCCTGTACCAAACAGGGATCTGAGATAGTACCTTCTGATGCAACACACGAATGAAGGGTGCGTTTTGTGTTTTTCAGCTATCCAAAGACAGCCAGTGCTCCCGGTCAGCTCCACTGGCGATATGGGAACTGCATTATCCCTACTCTATTTCCAGTGCCTTGCACTGAGTTATCTAAGGAATGAATTTGCCCTCCAGCCTTTATGTGCTCCCTCGTCAATTATAGAAGTGTCTGTCCTCAAAATTAGGAGACGACAACTGGCCTCTAAAACTCCTCTAGAGGCACAACGGCGGGCATCCAGCTCACCGGGAGAGCACACCAGCAGTAGCATCATTGACAAAAATTCAAACGGTAAGCTAGAGACCCTCAAGCGGAACCAGAGGAAAACTGCACTGGTATCTGAGAGACTAGACCAGCTGTAAAAGGGAAGGCACAACCTCCGTGTGATGGAAACAGGAGTATTATCACCTCTGCTGGCTGCCATTCAGAGCACGGGGTCACAGCATACAACTGCATGCAGAGGCTACTAAAATTAATTTTTAGATTTGGCATGGGATTAGGACTCCACTTAAAATGTTCCTAAAAAAAATCAGGTATCTGTTTGACAACAAATGAATGCAATGGTTGTGAATAAGGACTAGATCTAGAACTCAAGTCTGGCTTTCATTAAGCCTTCAAATACAGAACTAGAACTGGCTGATGGCTGTGGCATAGCAGGATTTGGTGTCTTCTCTTGCAGTGATCCAAGGCCTGCTTCTTCAGAGACCTTTCCCTCCCTCCTGGCAGAGCTGGCAGGATCTCAGCATGCTCCCCTCAGAGGTGGGGCTTAGTTTTGGAGGAGAGCATCTGTAGCATTTTGAGAAAGAGCATTTTGAGGCACGGCACCTGCACTAGGTTCCCAAAACATTTAAAAGGCGCAGCCTGTGCAAAGGAAGAAACCACACAACAGCTGTCTTACCTAAGACATCACTGTAGTACTCATCCCACTTCTCTTGCCAAAACTTTAAGTAAAAATAGTCAGCGTAAAGGTAAAAGAGGAAGTTCTGCAGCCTCTCCGTGAAGCTCATCCGGTCCATCAGCCTGCCCATGCTGGCAGGCACATAAGAAGGTGGGGCTGGCAGCCCACCACACAGCCGCTCTGCCATGTTTGCAACAGAAAAGCGGAAGCTGTAGACGAAAGGGATTGCCAGGAGTTCTGCTACAAGCTCACCCCCTATGGACAGAGGGTCAGCGATTAGAACATCAAACTTGGCCTCCTGCAGCTTTGCCACCAGCTGAGGGTTCAGCACCAAGGTGTCACAGATCATCCTCACCATGTTGGCAAAGACCTCCTCGTCCTCTTTCATCCTTCTCAAGACCTGCCAGAAGGACAGGTTGTTGAGCTCATTCAGCCAGCTGTTGAGGAAGTCCTCCATCATAGCATCCAGGCTCTCCTGGGTAAAAGGCACTTGCAGGACCTCAAAAGTAAAGGGGGAGGAGGTGTCTTGGTAGTCGATGAGCAGATTGATGGAGGGCACCAGCACTGTCACCTCGTGGCCCCGGAGAACGAGCTCTTCCAGCAGCACTTTCAAGTTGATCCAGTGGCTTGCGTCAGTGGGCCAGACCACTACCTTTCCACAAAAGCCAGCACTCCAGCAGCATGTGTAGGCCCAGAGCAGCCAGAGGAACCTTTGCCCCGTCATCCTGGCTGACCATTTACAACTCCGGTCTGACTGAGCTGGAAGCAGTTGCACTGTTCTGGCATGTAAATACCTCTAGGGCCAGCCAATAAAAATCAAAGGAACCTTTCCAACCTTGGAAAGAGGACATGCCAGGACTAAAAGCACCACTCACAGGAAGGCTGGGCAGGCAGCAAATCCCGTTCTGGAGTCTCTTCCACAGCCACAGCTGATCTCTGGAAATTAAGGCAATTTCCATTTCTGCTCTCTGCAAAGTGCACCTTCCAGCATGTGAGGACCAGAAGCACTTCTGAGCTCTGCAGAGAGCTGGATGCCCTGATAATGTCTTCAAGGTGAAGCTATGTGTTCCCATGCCAAGCAGGAACTCAGGCTGGGGAAAGCATGTGAGGAGCCCATGGGCCCTTTCTGACAGCTGTATGATTAGCCCAGTGCTATCACTTGACTACATCCTAGGTTTGCTCCTTTGCTCTGTAAAAACCAAGTTATCTGTAAAGCCAGTAACAATCTTCTTCTCCTCATTTACTAAGCGTCAACAAAATGTCCTGCAGTGATTGACAACTAGCCCACAACGTGCTCTAGTCCTCTCTGTAACCAAATGTCTTGGACATGCAACACTGCCCATGTCTGGAAGGATATGGTCCTGATAGAGGTCACAGCAGCATCAGGCCTTCCTGGGAGAGAAGCAGGAGGAGATGAGCAGCAGGCTCTGGGCCACCTGACACTGCCACAGGTTTTGCTCTTCCAAGGAGGAAGAGGAGATGCACACATGCATGGCAGGGGCTGGGACATTGCCTTGTTTTTGTGGGACAGCTTGGCCCTTCCTTCCACTTCTTCATCACTGGATACAGTCAGGATGACAGCACATCTCAGCCAGGGTGGAGGGCAGCCAGGCTAACACAGCTAACAAGGCAGGCTTTGCACGTGAAGCTTCACCACCGCAGCCTGCATCTTACTGCTAAGAGGAAAGCTAGCCAGAAGCTGGGCATCGCCAACTCAGATCTTACCTGTGCACCTGAGAACAGTCCCTCTGTTCAAGAAATAGGCTTCCAGCAGCACAGCGGTTCAGCTTTCTCCCTGAGACTTCACAACCAGGAGCAGAAGGTAATTTAAAAAGCACTCACTTTTAGCAAGATGCTATGGCAGTGCAACAAGGAAAACAAATCACCTGTCCAAATGTACAAGGGGCTTTCCTGTTTCAGGCGTCCTCTGAGCTCTCTGACACAGAGACAGGGAATTTAATGCTACGGTAGGACTGATAATAAACTCTCTTATTTCCCTTCTCTGCCTCAGGAGCATCGGTGGAAGGACCAAGTTTCAGAGCAGTACCAGCATAAAATGCAGGTTGACATTTCTCTTGCGGGCTCTGCGGTTTGCCAGCGCAGCCCACGATCTGAACAGCCCTGCAGCCGATGCTGCATAAAATCAGCAAACTGTGCTTCTGCCAGCACAGTGCTTTCTAACCTTTGCCAAGCACAATAAGCAGCACATGTAAATGCAGAGTTAGGTGCTTCTGTAGTAGGGCTTTCTGCTAACTTAGCGCGCTCAGCAAAATCACATCCCATCACAGGCCTGAGAGAGCAACAAAAACCCGTAGGCATCATATTGAAGTACGACTACCTTTATTCCCACAGAAATTAACCTTCAAAGGGCATGCTAGCCCTGCTTCCTCCTAGTAGCGGTAACAACTCCCTAAAACAAAACCTCAGTAGTAGACCTAGAATTGCCATTAACAAAAAAACTTCCTAATTAACTAAACCAAACATCTATTATCTCCATACAACCCTTAAAAAAAAGGCAGAGTCACCTCCACTGGAAGCCTTTTATCCCTAAAAGACCAAAAGTTTTGTGTTTGGTGAGATCGTGGTACTATTTTATTGTTTTTGGTGTCAGCCATGCCTGAAGTATGAATATGACTGCTGTGTTTTCTTTTAAGTGGCATTGGCACTGGTTTACCTAGCCTGAAGGTGTCTCTGGGGCGTTAGCTGTGTCAGTGTAGCTGCAAACAGGTAAGGTTTGTACTTATTTGGCTTACTCATCATGACAAAGGCATTTTGGAGGAGGAAAAGGAACCCAGGACTGCCTAGCTCCCTACTTGCACCCTACCCACCAGGCTCTGGGTACATAGTCCTATGTGCATGGCAGAAGCAATCTCTGAAAGTAAAAACAGCCTTACCTAAAACATCACTGTAGTATTGATCCCATTCTCCCCAGAGAGTGTGGTGATACAGGATATCCATAGCAGCGTAGAAGATGATGTTTTGTAGCCTCTCCACAAAGGACAACCTGTCCATCAAGCGGCTTAGGGTGGCTGGCACATAGGAAGGAGGGGCCGGGAGCCCGCCACAGAGCCGCTCCACTGTATTGCCAATGGAGAAGCGGAAGGTGTACACGAAGGGGATGCCCAGCTTCTCTGCAAACAGCTCCCCACCCGGCATCAGGGGGTCCGACAGAAAGACGTCAAAGGCGGATGCCTTCAGCCTCTCCAGCAGCTCCTTGTTCGCCAGGACTTCGTTGCAAATGATTTTGTTCATAGACTTCAGCTTGATCATCAGCTGACCTGCCTTATAAAATGCTTCCCAGATGGACAGCTCGTTCTGTTCGTAAATCCAAAAATAGAAAGCTTCTTCCAGCGCGGCGGCCATCTCCTTTTTGGTGATTGGCACCTCAACTACCTCAAACTGGAAAGGCGAGGGCTGGCTGGGATCGAGGATAAGAAAGCATGAAGGCAGCAGCACAGTTACCTCATGGCCCTGGGCCACGAGTTGCTGGAGGATGTAGTCCATGTTCAGCCAGTGGCTGTTGTCAGCAGGCCAGACCAACACCTTCCCGCCAGACCCGCAGCCCAACAGCGCCAGCAGCCACAGCACCGCCACCTCCTTCCCAGCCATGGCGTGCCTTGTGTGGCTACGTGCCCATGGCCCTCCTTTTCCACAAGCAGTTACACAAGCCAGGCCAGGTCAGTCCCATGTGATGCAGCCTTGCCCTGGTGGGCAAGAAGCCAAGGTAGCTAGTGCAAAATCCCGTCCTGGATAATGGCACATTTTCCATGGAGAGGTGACATCTGGTGGCAAATGACTTGGTGAAACTGGAAGCAGTGCTTCCTCCCAGGCAGTGGGGAGAGCTGTGGGCCCCGCGAGCAGGCACTCCTGCCCTGTGTCCTGTTGGCCAGGTTCAGCCTGCCCCCTCCAGCCCACTCCAGGCCTCATGCCTACCTACAGGCATGGAGCAATTTTCTAACCACAGCCTCTCTACATTATTTTTTGGAAGAAGAGTTGAATTTTTCATCCTTTTTGCTATTCAGACAACATCTTGGTACCCAGTGAAGACATTCACCTGCTCTGTGGGCACCCTTTTGCTTTATAATGCCCCCATTTTTAATGCACTCGATGTGGCGATCCAGGATTGCAACTAGAAAGTTTGAGTCTCAAAGTACGTGAAGCTAAGTGGGGAATCGAGGGACTCAGTGTCTGAGTAAGGCTGTCTCCACATGAACTTGCCTCCTCCGGAGCATGCCAGAGCCTCTACGTGATAGTAGAAGCTGTCCTGCATGCCACTAGATGCCAATAATGCACTGTAAGTGGAACCAGAAAATCTACTGAACGGTTTTATTCTTGCACGTTTCTGATGTGCAATTAAGAAATGATATAAGCCCTTCTCACTGTGCCCAAAAAATCATCGCTGAGCTGCTGCCCAGCTCTGTTGCTCAGTTGTTTGCTGAAGCAGGCTGTCCTTCAGGGTTTTTGCTTCTGCTTCAGTAGCGTCCAGAGTATCCTTTCCTGACCTCCCCAGACGAAAGCGCAGGCGATGGTATAGGCCTGGTTGTCAGGAGCCAAGCTGAGACGCCTGCTCTGCTGTGAGCGTTACAGTAGTTTGATGTGTTTGTCAAGTCCTGCAGCATGCAGGCGCTCCCAGGGAATTGAACCCCATGGGACTTGGAAGTGCTCTGTTTCACAGGGTCGGTGCAAGCTCAGTTAAAACAGCTCATTGACCACATGTATATAATACTTAGGTAAACCTGTATTTCTACATATTCACTCAGAACAAAGGCTTGAGCGTGAAGACTTGCTACATGTACTGTTTGCTTGTGGGTGGAGAGTATGTGTAAGTACAACTTGTTTTGTGCAGAGAGAATTGGTTTTAAATGACCAGTGATATAAGTGCATTCTCTATTACAAAGCCACAGTGGATTTCAGTATTGCTGCTGAGAGTGTCAAGGCTGGTTTCTAATTCACCAGCCCTCCTTGTTACAGTGGTCTGGACTGTAAAAGGGCTCTGTTCCTGCTGCTTTCTCTGCAAGCAGTTCCTGGAGAGGGAAGTCTAATAAGGGGAGCTCTCTTTGCTGGGAGCCCTATATGCTGTGGGAGTTATCTAAACCTTCCCATTTGAACTATGAGGAAAACAGGGAGAATGCCAGAAACCCAACAATTGGGCTGTCCACTGAACCCTGTCTTATCCCAGTGGCATGTAGCTCAGCACCCCGCTGGGGGTGTGGGTGCAATTCATGGCGATGTACCTGACATGGGGAGCTTGGTGACTAATGGCTTAAGACTGTGGCTAGGCTGAAGCAGGGTCCCCAGTGAAGTACTCTCCTGCCTTTGTAAATACATTTATTTTTTTGGTCTCCTTAATCCCTCTGGCCTACAGCTGCAGCCTGCCATTTCGTGCTAAAAGGTCCCCTTTTGGTTTGACATGGCTCCTTCGCCAGTTGCTTGCTCTTTTTTCTGCTAAGGGAAATAGTGAAAATCTTCTCCTTGCTGGCCACTTGTTTACAGACCTCTCAGACATTGTTATGGTCCTTTCTGAATTTTGAGCCCTTGACTTTGCCACCCTGCCCTTCTTCTGGCTCCTAGGGCTGTTAAGTCATGTCGTAGGAGACTGTATAATGAGAAAGTGAAATAGCAGAAGGCTTACCTAGGACCTTGCTGTAGTACATATCCCATTCTCCCCAGTAGCTCTGGAAAACGTAGTCTTGCAAATGATAAGACACTATGTTTTTTATTCTTTCGCTGAAGGACATGCGGTCAGTGAGCTCAGAGAGGGCTGCAGGCACGTAGGATGGTGGGGCCGGGATCTTGCCGCAGTGCCTCTCCACGGTTGAGGCTGGGGTGAAGCGCAGCGAGTACATGAAGGGGACGGCCAGCTTGAGAGCCACGAGGTCCCCACAGAGGGTCACTGGGTCCGACAGCAGCAGGTCATAGCTGGCCCCCTGCAGCCGGGCCATCAGCTCTCGGTTGGTGAGCACTGCGTCGCACATTTGCCTGTTTATCTGGTTCCAGTTTATGGACAGTTTTCCCAGCTTCTTATAAAACTGCCAGAAAGTCAAGGTGGTCGGTCTGTTGTTCAGCCACAGTGCTACTATATCCTCGATCAGGTTCTCGACTGTGTCTTTCTTGAAGGGCACAGCATAGACCTCAAACTTCTCCGCAGCCTCAGCCCTGGGTTTAATGAAGAGTGAAGCATTCGAGACCAGGATGGTGACACCGTGCCCACGCTGGATCAGCTCCTGTATAACTATCTTGATGTTTAGCCAGTGGCTGGCTTCTGTCGGCCAGACCAACATGTTTCCGCAGAAGGCCATCCCTTGAAAAGCCACCAGAAAAGCTAGCAGCTGGAGGCATTTCTTTGAGCCAGTGGCTTTTGTGGCCATGGCAGCAGTAAGGGTTAGGTAGCCCAGGAGTTTTCACTTCCAGCCAGGAGCACTCAGCCTCTGCGTCACATGTGATGGCACTTAACTAGCACCCTTGGCAAAGGCAGGACTTCACTGTCACCCAAGTGAGACCTTTTAAAGCCACGGCGGAGCAGCGGACCTGGAACACCTTCAGTCTCTGGACTGAAAAGACAGAAAAGGATACTTGGTGGAAGGCCTTGGTGCAAGGAGGGACCCCAGTAACAGGACTATCAGCGGCAAACAATGCCATAGGTGTCACTAAGCCTCCTCCACCCTTCTGTAGCTGTGTGGACATGCCAGCACATGCCGTCAGTAAATTACATGAGTTACCAGCAGTTGCGCTCCAGCCCTGCAGAGAGCTGTCCCCTCTCCAGGCTTCAGCGCTAATTCAAGTTGGTGCATTTTCACTGAGGGAGAAGCAGCAAGTGAGACCCCCCCTAAATGCGAGCTCTGGTACCTAAATAATTCACCTGCATTGTTCCATTGACTAGCAGTGCCAATTTTGCTAGAAGTGGTGATGTTTCCCATACTGAGAGAGGGCAGCATACCTGGCATAATAATGCCAGCTGTAATAACAATAATGTGTACTTCCTCTGACATGTGAAAGGTGGTTTCTGACTGCTCCTGCACAGCTGAACGTGGGGAGCTTGTTGCTACTGCCTGGGGTGCATCAGCACCAACTTTGCAGTCTTGTAGGCTGGGCCTACAACATGTGGGGCCTAGCCCGCCCCCAGAGGGGGGCTACCTGAGGGGCCACAGGGCTTCCTGTGTGTCCAGGAAGGGATCTGCCAGCCCCACCAGGTTGTCTCAGGCACTAATGACATTTGATGTCTCTCTACAGGTAAGCTGACCTGTGCCCTGACTTGCTGGCCTCTGCCAAGTGATCTTTATCGTAATACGCCACATCTTCTGGGATGGCTGTCGTCTGGAAATTCGCTGCTTGAATGTAAGTCGCTGTGTCCTGAAATAACCAGCTCAGGAGGTTTTAACCGCCAGGAATCAAAATGAGACCGCTCTAAAACCCACACATAAAGCAGTGCAATCAATTCAACACATTATGGGGGGCAAATGCCATGCAACAAAAAGCTCTTACCTAGTAGAGCCTTCCAGTGTATGAAAGCATCATGCTCTGGATAATGTGCAATTTGCTATGCCGGGTTGCTCCTGTTCATTGCTGCTCACCTAATGCGCCTTGGCAGCTCTGGCAAGGTTCGGCACCAGGCAAAAGGCGCTTAAATAAGTTCCACCCTGAATAGGGCTTTTCAGTGGTGAGAAAGTAATACAATATGGGATGATCGCAAAGGGGCATGTATTCGGGGATTATTCCTTGCTTAGTTATGCTCCAGTAACTTAAGAGTCAAGATTATCTCTCCTGTGCTAGAGAATATCATAACGTTACTACAGAGCCAGATTCTCAGAAGGACTTTGCATCCAGTAGCTACCACTCAGGAATACAGTATCTGACTGCTAAGCTGTTAAAAACATTTATTTCACTCCGGTTAGAATTCTAGCTGGGAAAACGTGACCTTTAGAAAACTGGATGTTAAATAATGGACTTGTTTACAAACTATCTACAGAAACCAAGACAATATTGTGGTTCATAAGCAGAGTTTTCCGAAAGTCCATATATTGACCTTACTGGTAAATGCTGGGTGTATGGCCCTCGATTCTGGACATCAGGACACGGTTTTAAGGACTGAGAGATACAGCAACCTATAGATATGCCTCCATGTTTTTAAAATTCTGCCCGTAATATTCAACTTGGCTCTTTCTCAAATTTCAGAATTCAGGGCAATTCTACCGCCAGTATATCAACAGCAATGAGGCCCTACTGCTATGAGTTCCTGTATGATCTCTCCACGGACCTTTGTATTTTGTTTCATATCTTTTCTTCAGATCAGTTGAGCTTACTTGGGAGAATCCTATAGGAAACTTAAGGAAAGCTCTTCCAACAAGTATCAAAAGGCCATGTCACATTGGCTAGGGCAGGTAGGAGCTTTGCTGTGTGACTGCGTTGGTACACCTTGTGATGTTTCCCTGCAGTGGCAAGCCTGGGGGGATTTCGAGTTGCTGGTTCCTCTGAATTTCTTAGGGTTTTGTTTCTAATCCATCATTACCTAATTACTCTGTAGAAAATGAGAGCTTTTACTAGTGGAACTGAAGGGTTATATTCTACTTCGCTCTATGGCCAGCTTATAAAGATGATACTCAGGTTACTCTTAATGCAAAAAGAAGATAAACATTTTGAGAGGATTAAGGGGCAAAATCCAGCCAACAAGAGAAAAGCAGGGCTGAGCACTGTGGATGGTGTTAAGTGGCTATATTTCACATGTCTAACATTACTAAGAATTGCTATGGAAATGGATACAACCTCCAACTTGAACGATTACAAGGTCTTTGAGGCTAAGGCCAGTTATGCAAAATTTAGGGAATACAGATTGGTGTTTGCCACTTGTGGATATCTTCACCATTTTGCTGAACAGGGGGTACAATGTGCACGACACCTGTATATTATTTCCATAATACCCCAGTGACAACCAGCACCTCAGAAATTCAGCGCCACGATAGGAAACGGAGGCGTTTGGCCAGAGGCACGTCAAGCAGCTCTGCAGTTTTTCTTTCAGTTATTTCAGGAAAGCCACTTCTGGACTGAAGGTTAACATGACACTCTGAGCTGTAAGAGATTGTCGTTTTTGTTGGGGAAACTGTCCAGATGGCAAAACCTGGAGTGTGTAATTTAAAGGCTGGTTCATCCCCAAGTACAGACAGAAGTGGCAGTGGAAGGAGAAATGTTTGCAGAAGCACATGTGCACATGTGCTCGTGGGCGGTAAAACACCTACTTTCTCATTATCCCAAAGGGTAATAGAGAAACGCCAGCAGAGGTTAATGAGCTGACATCCCTGTCATAACCCCACTGCTCAGCGAATTTATGTCTTGATATCTCAGCCTTCTGCCCTCTGACTCTAGGACAAAAACACCACAGCTTCCATTTATATTTCATTTGTTTTTATTTATTCAGTTTAAGATTTTATGGATTCTTTTTATTGCCATTCTGATGCTGCGGGGACACCTTGACACAGGCACTGAGGTGGCTTGCACCGAGGCTTTTACCACACTGCAAGGGAAAAAACAATCAAAATGAGAAAAGCTCCAAGGCACAGTTTGTGTCCTTTCCCAAGGCCAGACCTTTCGCTTTACCAGTTCAGCTCACCAACTGTTTATTTTAGCAGGTTAGTTTGCTACTGGGCCAGGCCATTGAATCAGCCTATGGAGGAGTTACAGAATCACAGAATGGCCAAGGTTGGAAGGGACCTCTGGAGATCATCTAGTCCAACCTCCCTGCTCAAGCAGGGGCCTCTAGAGCACATTGTCCAGGATTGTGTCCAGACAGCTTCTGAATATCTCCAAGGAAGGAGACTCCACAGCCTCTCTGGGCAACCTGTTCCAGTGCTCTGTCACCCTCACAGGAAAGAAGTTTTTCCTCATGTTCAGACAGACCTTCCTGTGTTGCAGTTTGTGCCTGTTGCCTCTTGTCCTGTCGCTGGGCACCACGGAGAAGAGTCTGGCCCCATCCTCTTGACACCCTCCCTTCAGACACTTATACACACTGATCGGATCCCCCCTGAGCCTTCTCTTCTCCAGGCTGAACAGGCCCAGCTCTCTCAGCCTTTCTTCAGAGGAGAGATGCTCCAGTCCC